AGGCACCGCGCTCCGGCGCCAGGCTGTTGGAGGGCTCTGTGAATCTGGTTTATTGAGACTGATGCAAATTTAATTTCTGCTAAGTCTTTCTGCTAAAGTCTGATTAGTCTGCTAATCGCATATCTAGTGGCGGGGGGGGGGGGGGGCACAGTGATGCAGCCACTGCAAGGCACAGTTACTGCCACTCACGCCACTCCCCACCACCAATAAATTAAACCCACAAGGAGCAGATCAACAGCAAATCTTCAGACAAGCCAGATGAGAGCCGAGGCCGGGTGCCACATCCGTCCCCAAGACGTCAGGACAGCACGCAGAAAAGGGCAGAAAGCTCAAACGAGGCAGCACACCGCGTTTCTCCCACCCTGCTACATCCAAAAAACCCCGAGCCCTGGTCCTTGCTTTGGGTGGGCTGGCAAAGAGCCAGGCAGCCTTAGCGTTAGCAGCTCAGTGCTCAACACCAAGATATAGCCCCGACTGGGTAATTCTGTCAGCAAGAAAATAAACAGCAGGTGAGCACCAGTGGAAGTCTCTCCTCAGTACACTGAGAATGTTATTTAAACACAGACTGGAGACCTATTTATTCAATAAGGGCTGTAATTAGCCCACAAATTAATCTCAATACATCTCTCTATGGCAGAGTGAGAAATGAGATACCTTCATAAAAAAAAAAAAATAAAAAACTAAGTGTTACTGCTGACAGATGAATACTCTGTATCCAGATTTAAAAAAATAAAGACATTAAATCTAAAAACAAGAGGGTTGAGTTTATACCAATGATCTGGAAGGAGGGACTGAGTGCACCCTCAGTCAGTTTGCAAACAACACCAACCTGGGTGGGAGTGTTGATCTGCTTGAGGGTAGGAAGGCTCTACAGAGGGATCTGGACAGGCTGGATCAATGGGCTGAGGCCAGTTATATGAGGTTCAGCAAGGCCAACTGCCAGGTCCTGCACTTGGGTCACAACAACCCCAGGCAACTCTACAGGCTTGGGGAAGAGTGGCTGGAGAGCTGCTGGGCATAAAAAGACCTGGAGATGTTGATCAACAGCCAGCTGAACATGAGCCAGCAGTGTGCCCAGATGGCCAAGAAGACCAATGACATCCTGGCCTGTATCAGAAACAGTGTGGCCAGCAGGACAAGGGAAGTGATTGTGTCCCTGTACTCAGCATTGGTGAGGCTGCACCTTGAATACTGTGTCCAGTTTTGGGCCCCTCACTACAAGAAGGACATTGAGGCTCTGGAGCATGTCCAGAGAAGGGCAACGAAGCTGGTGAAGGGGTTGGAGAACAAGTCTTATGAGGAGCAGCTGAGGGAACTGGGGTTGTTTAGTGTGGAGAAGAGAAGGCTGAGGGCAGACTTTATCACTGTCTACAACTACCTGAAAGGAGGGTGCAGCGAGGCAGGTGTGTGTCTTTTCTCCCAGGGAGCTGGTGATAGGACAAGAGAAAGTGGCCTCAAGTTGCACCAGGGGAGGTACAGATTGGATGTCAGGAAAAATTTCTTCACTGAAAGGTTTATCAGGTAATGGAATGAGCTGCCTAGGGAGGTGGTTGAATCACCATCCCTGGAGGTGTTTAAAAGACAGGTAGATGGGTTGCTCAGAGATATGGTTTAGTAGTGGATAGGTACAGTTGGACTCAATGATCTCAAAGGTCTTTTCCAACCAAACAATTCTATGATTCTATTCCTAGCTTCTTAGTAAGAACTGAGGAAGGAGGGTCCAACAAAAAGTTCCCTGAGGAGTCTGGAGAAAATGAAGAAACTACTAATACCAGAAAACAAAGTCTGCTATTGTAACTAAGTAGGTACATCCGCATTTCATAATGGGCCTGACACAAAACCCACATAAAAGATGGCAATTCTTTTGATTTACTTCAGTAGGCTTTGGGTCAGCTCTCAGATGCAGCAACCTCTCATTTTTATTTCCATTACCAAAAATAAAATAATGAACTCCAAGTATGCACTCCTCTCTTCATTCAAACAGACTGCTGTTTCATGCCAGCAATCAGACAAAAGAGAAATGAAATATTCTCATTATTATTGACAATGAAACAAGATTCATCCTGCTCAGCCTCTTTCTCCGTTCTTCAGATTTAACTCCTGGCACAAACTTAATGAACAAAACCTGAAGCAAAGCAGCCTGTGCCAGGCAACACATTCTAATCTGAAATTACATCTCCTGCTCTAATGTGAAAACCCCAAAGCACCTTTGACGAAAAAACACACACGCCTTCCAGATTAGCCCTTATGTATTCAACAGTCAGAACCAAATGGCTGCTGCTGTCCTCTTTAATCAGGGTACAGCAGTCTGGGACAGCATGACCACGTGAGCTTACACGACACATGGCTCTGGAGCTGGCCCCACTGGAGTTCAGTCTTACCTCTCCACACTGCAGAGAGTCTCTATCACAACCCAGTGAAGGCAAGAGGGAAAACAACAGAACAAACACTGTATATAATAAGTATGTTCTGGAAGGAGAAATGTGCCCACCGCTTGTCCTGCTTCACAATTAAGATTCAGAAAATGCAGGCAAGATGTTCTGTTTTGAACCATCTCTCACCAAAAATGGAAGCCATATTCTAAAGTTCATTCCTTACCTTCAACAGCCCTTTTGGGAAGTCTTTGCCATCGTTCATCCCCTGGAGGTTGGCAATGAACTCTTGGCAGGTCATCTTTTTCCCAATGTTCTGGAAGGGATGGCAGAGAAACACAGCATCATATTCACGCTGCTTTTCAAAATTATGAAAACAACATCAGATGAATTGCACCTCCCTGCTTTCATTTAAGCCCAAGGCAGGCAGCACTAATAATGCATTCACAAGATTACTCAGAGAAAGGACCCTTGTGTGAATATAGCTAGAAAAGGAAAGGTGAATTTGGATCCCCAGTCCCACACACCCATTCAAAAAGAAAAACAGCTAAACACTGGAGGGTAATGAAGAGGGTGATGATGAAGCTCCTTGGTATCTGCATGGTGCATTACATCCCCTGTCTCCAGAGGCTCTACCAGCCTCTGCTGGAGAAGCTCTACTTGATCCTGCTGTGAGGCATAAGGAAATAGCCAGCTGAGGTCCTTTCTAGACCTTTCTCTTACAATTTCCAACACACCCTTCCAGTAGCAACTGCCCTGAGTTGGAGTAAGATGTCCAGGAGTAGGCATTGCCTTTTCTGATTCACAGGCTGAGGCTGCCTTGACATTTTGATAGGACTGCTCTCTTTTCTCTCTTTCTGTCTAATTCTCAGGTCAAAATTGCCCAACCAAGCCTCAAACAGGAAAGGAATGGCTATGCTCATGTTGGACCTGAACTGCTCCATTTGGAGGCCTGGGGTTGCCCTGAACTGCTCTTGGATCCCAGCCTTTACCACCCCTGAGAGAAGGTGTCTGTACTCGGTCCCCTGGGTGCCAGAAGTCCCACACTTGGCATGTAGAGAGCCTTGTGAGCGGGGAGCAATGACAATGCTGAGTTGGTGAAAAAGGAACCCAGAGAGATCTGAGGAAAGAGAAGCAGCCTGAGATGAGCTGTGAGATATGGTAAGGACAGAGGAAAAAGAGGGCCTTGTGATGACCATGGTATCTTTGGGGATGCCACTGGCACTTAGGGGAAGGAGGTGAAGATGATTCCTCCATGGTCGGGGCATGCCATGGCTGCAGAAATACAGTGAAGCGCAGGCAGTGACTTGGGTTAGGAGTAAGAGCCCAAATTAACACAGGAGTAGAGCTCAAAAGGCACCATTCAGTAATACAGGTCATTCAGTGTTACATGACAGCTTGGATTGCCCATCCTCTACTTCCCTTCCATTATGTATGATCAGAGGGAGATGGAAAACAAGCAAACATTGACCATTAGCTTCATCTAGCCACAAAGGAAGATCCTGCAGCATGTCACCAGCACAGGCCAGCAGAAAGAAGACAGGCAAGAACACTGCCTTCCACAAGAGAGGAGATACTTCTGGGGGGGCACACAATACACTGCTTCCCCCATCAGGAAGGCTCCTGACAACACAGTGTGGCTGCAACCTGGCTCTCTGGCCACTGAGCTTGCAGAATACAGCTCATAACTGCAGTTTTGGTTGCAGACTGGAGCTGTTCTACTAGACTTGCAAATGCTTTCCTTTCTCCCTGCCACAGATTTCAGCTTGCTTCTGTTTGTTTCCTCCACGCAGCAGTTTGCAGTTTCCTCACACTGACCAAAAACAACAGCAGTGTGGCTCACTTCACCTACTGAAATAATTGGCATTGCAGAAGAATGGCTGTTTTACTCTAGGACCAAAGCTAACATCTCCACACAGTGCCAGACAGGTTCCAGACAATGTGCCTGGCAGTCTAGAGATACCTTAAAAGTCTCTAGCATCACAGTTTGGGTGATGACCTCCCTGCAGAGAAGCAAGCACGTATCTCCAAGACACAGCTAGCAAAAATGATTAGTTACAAAAAGAATGAAATGTGGTGAGACAGGAGATAAATAAAGGGGTAAGTAAGAGTTTGTCTACAAGAGTTAAAAAGTAAAGTGTGAACTGAAGGCAGAGCAGCTGCACTACCACCCTACACACAGTTGAGTTTATTGAGAAATGAAAGAGTCTGCATTTAGGATCAGTATGTCAGCAACAAATGGAGCTCAGTGTAGACAAGCCCTGTGACTCATTTGCTTCCTGATCTAGCAGAATCATGCTAAGGATCGGTCAAAGCATTATCTTTGTTAGGAAACTGGCAATTAGTGTATATCTGCAAGGGGCAGCATTCCAAGTAAAAAATGCCCAACTTACCACCTATGTGGAAAAACGCAAAGCAACAAGAGGAAGACCAAAATTACAGGAAAGTGCAGAGAGGGAGAGGGAGAGAGAGAGAGAGAGAGAGAAGACACACACAGGAGTCTGGCAAACATTACAGCTCAATACATGTAACAACACACTTAACCACTGCGAGTACGATAAGCCTCCAAAACTACACGCTGCAACAGCTGGAGTCATCCTATCTTCAGCTGCAAATCATCAGCAAGGATGGGTCAGAGCCGTATCAATTACTCCACTACATAACGAAGACAGCAGGGCCCACTAAAAGCATCACAGGGAGTGACAGGAAATGCTGTGAGGCTGATGCACAATCGTTTATTCTCCCTCTGTGGACTGCAAGACCAGGCAGGCTGGAAAGCAGGCACCCCAGGCTGCTCATCTCTCCGGGGAGCGGGATACCTGCACAGGCTGTCTCAGGTGTGCTCAAGAGAAGCTGTTTAGGCTAAAAGGCACACTGGGGCATGTCCCTGTACCTCCGCTCACCCTCCCACACAACTGATGCACTCCTCAGTTGGGGAAGGCTCAGCCTCCAGAGAAAAAAATTCTTCGCTACTCCCTTCCCCCTCCCACTTCTACAATTTTCAGACAAAGCCGTTCAATTAACAGGAGGTGGGTGTCAAAACCCCTGGGGAGGCACACACAAGCCTCGGCTTCATAACCTGCACCCACCACAGAGCTGCACCCACAAGGGCCAAGCAGCCTTTGGAGACAGACCCAGGATGCCTGCATCTCCTGCTGCCTGACCCATCACCCTTGCTGCGTAAGAGGCCCCAGCTGAGGCCCTTCTGGAAGAGCCCTTGGCAGTGCAGTGTGGGGTCTCAGACGTCTGAGAGAAGCCTCAAGGCCATCTGGCTGAAGCCACTGCTCCTGCATGCTATCATGTGCCATGTTCCCTGTGTTTTTTCCCTCTCCATCCCAACTCCAGGACAGAGGAAGCCTCCCATCAGCATGGGAATACCATGCATAGCAGGCGTATTGCACCATGGGTGCTAAAACACATGTCCTAGGGCTGCTGGCACCCTGTACCAGTGTGACTAAGAGGACTCAAACTGGAATACTATTTCTCCTGGGCAGGCAGTAAGGAGAGATGTGCAGTGGGGGAACACAGTGCTCCCACTCACGATGCCCATGTCCCCTCTCCACTCTCTTGGCTCTGCGCACATTACCATGGCTGAGCAGAACTCTGGTTCCACCAGATCTCCCCCTTGCAACTGGATGTCGGCAAACATCACCTTCCCCTCATGACCTTCCCAGCACCTCTTCACCTCCTTTCTTTCTTTTGCCTTCCCAAATGTTTTTACATGCTGGAAAGGGGAAGCCAATCCCAACCACAACTTCTCAGCCAGGGTCAGCTGCTATAACCAGGGAAGGATGGGAAGCACACCAGAAAGACAGGGGTGTGAGGACAAGGAGCATCCACACACATTATGGCAAAACCAGGCACAATGGCAGGCTTACAGATGACTGATCAGTGCATGCTGAAAATCTGCCCTGGACGATAGCCTGAGAGTGCAGCCTTCTCACCGTTTGCTGTCTGCAGGGCTGCTTTAAGGGCAGGCCACCAGCCAGAGCACTCTGCTGCCAGAAGACCACCCCTTCCAAGCACAGTGTCAATGGGAGCAGTCTACACAAAGCTGTGCATACTCACGTGGCCATGCAGGTCTGTGTTCAGCAGCATCATGGCACACGTGAGACAGTGAACTCCATCTGCAGGAAGAGACATAACCACAGTCACATGCAAACCCACAACTCGACCTTTAAGAACAGCTGAAACTGAGCCTCATAGCTTAATTGAGTCTGTTCCCTTAAATGAGAATCTGTTTTATCAAGAAATACACATAATTAAATAAATGAACAGTGAGGTCATCCCACAGCTGCCAGGCCAGAACAGCCTTTCTTTCATCTTTTAATGACTGTCAAAACTATCTTGCAGCATCCATGGATAAGGCAAACTAGACAGGAGGAAACCATGCTATCACCCTTTGCTTGCTATTATAGCCTGAATCAACCATAGTCTGAATCAACTCCCTCTTCTTCACCAATTTCAAGGCAGAAAGGGAAGAGTAAAATACACCCATTCTTGTGTACAGAGTGGAAACAGCACAGTATCCTGTTTTCTTCTCCCTCTGGCCCCCTCCTCATTTACGGCTTGATTTGACTGGATTTTGGAGAACCTCAGTCAGCTATTTACCCTGACCTGGCTTCATACTGCACAGAGTGTGCTCAAGTATGTCAAAGGCAGTTCTGTAGTAAAGGCCCTCAACAATGAGCTAGAAGAGACAGATTGCATCCCTAACTCCATCCCTACAGTCACTGCAGTAGAGTTGGGAAAGTCAGTGTAGAATGTCATTTGCTAAAGTGGATACCAATTTAATATTCCTCATTTTCCAAGCCCTCCTTCAAAACCCAAAATGTCTTGGCTGTACACAAATCCAAATGAAGGTGACAGTGCCCATGGAGCCATTTATCACATCTGAAAATCCAAATGCCTCTACCCAGTTTCCAAATGTTAGGAACAAATTATGAAAAATATTTTCTCCTTTCCCTTGTTCATAAACACAGGGTGCCACATTGCCTTCTCTCACAGGGTTGTCATAAACACAGTCATTTATGAGACACACACACACTGCAGGGAGATGTATGTAAAAATCTTTATAGCCAAGCCCAGGTAATGACCATGCACAGGTCCCTCTGTGCTGTGAAGAAAGAGGAGATGAGGATAGCTATATCTCACACTCAGTGTGACTATCGCAGGCTTAAATCTGTGCAAGATGAAGCCATTACAAAAAGATGTTCCCCAAGGTAAGGACCATGTTTTCTTAGGACATTCGTACAGGCCCCAGCACCCAAGCAATGTGTCCAAACTGTAGCAGAGCATGAAACGAGAGAAGAACTATTATCACTAGCAGCAGTAAGTCTGGATCAGGCTGAATCTGGGGCTGTGGTGCTCCAGTTCAGGTATATGCATTTCTCTAGAGTAGCCTGCCCTCTCATTTCCAAACTGCGAATGCATCCAGAGGATGGAAAATGGAAAGAGAGAAAGAAAAAGGCAAATGCAACCCTGGGTTTCCATTGAAAGGAACAACCATCGTATTTCTGCAGTGTAGCACTCAACTACTGACAGCAGAAAATTATGTAGAGTACTGGGCAAAGTCTGCTGGAGTCACTTTAATCTAAATGCTTCCTCAGGCTCAGAAGTGGCAATGCTCCTCCGGCACCCTGGACTAGAGTAAGGCTGAAACATCAACATGTAAGTCATTATTTCAGTCTGTACATGACATACTTACTGTACCTGATTGCCTGTGTTGTCTTGAAACAAGAAAGGCATTAGGAAGAGGACAGAGACAGTGTGGGAGCAGATCCTGTCTTACTGCTACCTATTCCCCTCCCCGGCATGCCAGCCAGTAAAGCAGAACAGATGCAAAGCAGACAAACATATTTTTTCTTATTTCAGAATATAAAATTTCTTATTTTCTTTCTTGCCCTCCTCCCTTTCTCAGCGTGTGATCAGCCTGCACTGCAATCACAGGGCCACATGCCTCTGCTGGCATGGCTGGCTGAACACAGCAGCTATGCCAATGGACAGTTCGTCCTCTTCTCCAATGCCAACTTTCTCAGGTTTGATCTGTGTGTTTGTTTCTTTCCCCCATCTATTTCCAAAATGACTGAAAACATTGGCAAGGAGGTAGCAGTCTAACTGATGTCAGTTAGTTGAGATGAAACCATGCCAGGGTCTGGAGAGAGCACCCAAAATTCACCCCCACAACTGTCAAGAACTGGCATGCCTGCTGCCAGTGCATGCAGAGACACAAGTGCTCAGTGGAGCACAGAAAGCAAACAGCTTCTCTTCCACCTGAGGTGGGATCCATTCTCGTCCATATGCATGGAGCTAGAGTGCAAGTACCCACACATGCTGGAAGTCAGCGAGACCAGAAACCAGAGCTGAGGACATTCATATCTGGAGGTGTGAAAACTGAGGATTTACACTGAGGAGGCCTAAACACTTTTCCTGTCTAGAGATAAATACATATTTTTCACTGTCTAACCACAATTACGTGTGGAGAATGTGAAGGGTTTCAGTGCTCCCCATAGGCAGACTCTAAAGTGTGGGACAGCAATTCACACCTAGAGTGCACAGGCACGCACCATGCATACACTGAAGGCAAGAATGAAGGAAGAGGGAGACAACCAAAGACCTCTGTATCAGAAACAAAGTTACCTTGAGAAGAAATGGTGTTTGGGTTGCACTGGTAGTATCTGCTGGAAAAGTGTACTAAAACTCTCTCTCGTTCCTGAGTTTCTCCAATAAGTGAAAAGGCTTTAAAGAAACTCCTAAAAGAAGAGCAGAAGGTGGTGAAATTAAAGTAATAAATCTCTTTTTGCCTCACACCGCACACAGAGCAAAGCACACTTTACAGCAAGAAGTACATAAGCACACGCCAGACATTTGGTTCCAAGAAGCCTTTCTAGGAAAACCAGCTATTATGCCATGTGTAGTAATCCAAACATTATAGTAAATGAAGCAGGAGTTAAACTACTACTGGTCTCAGCGATGGAATATACAAACTAATAAGTAACTACACCATTTGAAAGAGCTGTTATTATTTTAAATATTTTTCTTTTCTTTGGGGAAGGAACTGGAGCAGGTGTTGTTTATGCATGATAGACATCCAGGGTGTTCTCTGTCCTTTTCTAATTGTCTGTCAGCCCCACACCTTTTAAATTCACACTCATTGGTATTCCCAACCAAATCAGAGCAGCTACTCCAGGCAAAGACAAGCAGGTGCACTGCAGACTCAGAGCCCACACCAAATGTGCAGTCCTCCTTCTGGAAGGTCATCTGTCAGAGTGGCTAGGACCACATCAGTCACCTTGCAGAGGGCAGTATGACTGCGTGACCTGCAGAAAACATCTGGGGAAGAGGGCAGAAGAGTCACAATATCTACTGAGCTTCAACAGCAGCAGGAACAACCTGGGCCTCCTGGATTCCTGCTCATGACAGCCCAGGGTGCAGGGCTGGTGCACACCTGGGTGTGCTCACTAGACATGGCCAGCAAGACTGCAAAGATGTGGGACACACACATGTCTTCCACTCTTCATCCAACACTTATTTAACCACCCACCTCTTCACCACGTCACTATTCTTCCTGCTAGAAAAACTTGCCTCACAGCCAAAGAAGAATTTCTGCACTTCCCCAAATCCCCACATCCTAGAGCCAAGAGATGACCTCAGCAGTATGAGCCTACACCCATTTGTTAGGATGCTTCTAAGAAAAGCCTGAAAACACAAACCTTCTGGGTCTGAAGCAAGACAGCATACAAAATGAATGCCTAATAGACAATTTTTAAATACCCCATGAGACTCAAGCTAACACCAGATCTGAGAGGTGTGGAATATGTTGCTGGAACATTCACATCTATCTAGCCTGGACGAATAAACGTTAATTTTTTCTCTCTGATGTAAGGTCAGAGACGGGCTGTACTTGCAACAATCTCACACCCATACAGAGTGTGATCTGCCTGATAATAACTTAATTTCACATGTAATATATTGCAAATAACCCAATTCCCAAGTACATACAACTTAGTCTTCGCAGAGTTTTTCCTCCCTTCCTACCTCATGCCCCCATGGAACGTTTTGACAACTAGCCATCTATCCTCTTCCAGCTCGGGCTCTTTCCAGCAACACTCCCTGCCCACGCCAGGTATCCCCAACTTACACCCTCTCCTCCTCTTCAGCATCTTTACCCCACTGGGAGCCACCTCAGAGAGGCAACTGATGAAACAACATTTGGTAAATAAACAAGGCAGATTCTTTGCTCCCAGAGTGCAGTGCTGCAGCCAAGGGCCACAGAGGTGAGTTTCTGCCCACTGGGAGGGCCAAGGTGGACTCTGAGAGGCGCTGGAGTCCCACCTCCTCCCCATCTGCAAACAATGCAATAGATGCACTCAGGAGATGCACCGGCAAGATAGGTCCAGGATGTGGAAGCAGAGCAGGATGATGAAGGAACAACCTGCCTCGTGACCTCGACTTGCCACTGACAGTGATACACACTGCACAACAGCCTCCCACAGCCCACCTAGGAGTAGCATGGGTCTGGGCTGCTGCCACGGGCTCCAAAAGGTTTAATAAACCACAGCTTGTCAGCAAGCCAGCAGCAAAAGTGTGGTTACCTCTTGCTCTCTGCAAGCACTGCCTCAGCTCCCCGAGGCTTCAGAACGATGCTCTGTCCCCAGCCTCCGCTGCATGCTCAGGGCGTGCAGCCATCTGTTGCTGAAACCTCAGCAAAGGCCCGCTATGTCTAAGTCCCACATGAGCCAGGGTATATTTTAGAGAAGGTCATGACTATTAATATTAACAGGAGATCTACCGGGAGCTGAGACCTCCTAAATATGTGCCACAAAGCAATTAGGTGTTGGATTTCACAATTTCAAAGACAGGTATATTTAGCATCATGCTTCAGGGCTGATAAAACCTGGAACAAGCAGCAGACCTCTCACCACCCCAGCTGCTCCTGCCCTGTGCTGAGCTCGAATCCCTTTGGCAGGCAGGACTCTGGGCTATCCCTGGGGTCTGCCATGGTCTCTTGGAGTCAGGTCTCTGGAAATGCATTTGCAAGGGGACTGGCAAGTGTGTGCGGACCTCCTGGTTTTGTAACGTTAGAAAAAAAAACAGTAACCCACTTGAGTAACCTCAGCCAGATGAGTTAAACTCACTTTAAGTCCCTTTAAACACCAGAATATCAGCAACCATGCTAACAGGTCACTGCTACACAAACTTGGTGTTTTGCCTCCTAAGAAAAAAAATACAGAAAACAAACATTGTTGAGGCCTAATTCTAGTGTAAAAAGGAAGGAAAATTGAAGGGCTGGGTTTTCAAACACCCATGCTGGCAGCTACCAAAGTCTCCACAGTATTTTCCACGTGGAAGCTTTTGCTGTTCTGCACATTTTTGGGTGCCTCAGAGGGACGTGGTGAGGGGGGCTGCCAAGCCACATCAAACTCCAGCCCTGGCTTTGTGCACTGCAGCCAAGCAGAGCAAGCTCCAAAAGGCATCAGCCAAAAAGTGTGCAGTTCAGCTGTGAGCAACACCTTCATTCCCCAGCAGCACCTGGCAGACTACAAGTCTCCTGTTTACCAAGTGACTGGTCATTTTTCTCCATCTCCTCTGCATCAAGGACTATCTCTAAGCAGGTCCATCCAAGGATTCCTCTCTCCAGCAAATGGCACCACTCTAATAGCACTCCAGAGTACAGCAGCATGCCAAGCCAAACAGAAAATAAAAGCTCCCTCCCAAAAAAACATCACAACCCTCTCTTCACCCTCTTAAGCCCAAACAGGTCAACTGCTTCAATCAGGACAACACAGTAAACAGCATCACTACTAAAACAAGAACGTAAGGTCTGCAAACAGGCACGTACCTGAGCGAGTAGTCCAGTGTCATGCCTGTGAAGTCGAAAAACTTAAGGTATTCTTCAGCCACAAGCTTGCTGAATTCATTGCTTTAAACAAACACATAAATAAATAAGTCACCATTCGAGAGTGAACCCCTCCAGAACCAGCAAGAAGAACAACATGGCCAAAGACCCCATATCAGCACGTACTTTTTACCCAAATGCTTTGCCACATCAGAGCGTTTGAATCTGTCCAGATGGTAGAGGCGCTTAGCCAGCCTCCTGGCTGCTTCCAAATTGCTGCTACTGCCATTGCTAAGATCGTGGCCAAGGGCTCCAGTGGCATCTTTCTCCTGAAGTTCATTGCTCCCCATGGCAGCACTGGAGTCTATCACCATATTCAGCACTTCAGCATTGCTATGAGATGGAAAGAAAGTGGAAAGAAGAAAAATAAGATTGCATTAGAGTTTCAAGAAGGATTTAATTCCTCTTAGAATAGAAGGCAATTAATGGTACAGATGCAAGATTATACAATATAGCAAGTTCCACTTAACTGAAGAAGCTTGTAGAACAAGGACTTTTATTTAGCGGTCATCAGAGTTTAAGAGAGTTAAATACAGAGTTTCCAGCCCAGAAACACATTCTGCTCTGCACTCACCTTCTCAGTGTGCTGAGTGTCCACAACTTGTGCTCACTTCACAGAGAGCTGTTTGCTATTACCAGCCTACAAGTGCACCTGACAACATTGGCTCTTCATTTGCTTCTTGCACTATTACTTTTTAACCCAGTCACTTGCTTGGCTCGAAGGGGTCACTAAAAAGCAGGCAAGTAGCCATTTTCCAGGGGAAAATGCAGCAAGTAAGCCAGGGTGTTCAGTAGCTCCAAGCTGACTCGGCACAAGTCCCTTCCCCATTTTTCCCCAGTTGTCCTGGAAACAATACAACTCCCCAAATCTAAAATAACATTCGCAGCAGTCTCAGCGGCTTCTGTGCCGCCCATGAGAAGCGGGCAGCCCACAGGGACGCACTGCTAGCAAAAGCAGGACTCGAAGCAAGGAACCCAGCTTGGGGAACAGGAGAGAGACACAAGCCACAAAGGCCATCCTGAAGAACTGCTTGGTTTCCTCCTGCTCCCTCATGGTGGCAATAATTTCCTTCACCGGCTACTGAAAGTCAGGATGTTCAGCATGGCAATCCCAGGGCACTTTACAAAAATCATGCATTTATAGATTCCTCCCACCTCTACTACAGTAGGAAAGCTCTGGCTGAGCTGTGTGCCTGCTTTGCTTGTCTCCTCAAAGAGGCGAGAGCTCTCCACACCAGAAAGTGCAAGCCCACATACACACCCCTGCACACAAGGAAGGCTTTTAACTTTGGAAAAGCTTTTCTCTGACACTGGCACAAAAATTCTTTCAAAATTTCAGCTCTGTGTGTGACAGCATTTCCACTTAAAAAAAAAAAAATACTATACAGAAATTCTCTCCACTAAATCCCCATTTACACAGGGCTAATGAATGATCAGCAGGGGTCATGCGCAGGGCAGATATGAGCGGAATGAGTTAAAGATGATTTTAAACACAATACTTCAACATACCACAGTTTCACACACACTGTAATCTTCAGGCTTGACAAACCGATCGCTGCGCTCCAGTAACAACTATCTAGCCATTTACTGAAATGTCTGCTAGCTGCTTATTAACCCTTTGAAGATGAGGTTTTCATATAATGTGAGCTTAAAATAAAAATCTTTGCTATTTTGCATGCCTCCTTCCACACAAACTGTCACCTGTGCCCTACCTCTCTTCCCATGCATGGTTTAAGAGAAGGATGTTTCCACCCTCCTAATGCAGCTAGAACACCAAAAGTATCACACATCCACACTGTGGATACGACTTTTTTTTTTTATCAAGTAGCTGGGGAAAACAGACATCTACCTATTCCTACAAGTACTGGGGAACTGATTTTGCATTTATTTCAGTGTAAATAATAAGGTGCTATAAAAAAGGGGTCTCAGCCTCAGTGCTCTAGTAGGGCATTAATACTGCAAATACAATTCCAACAGCATTAAGATCACTGATCACCAGCTACCCAAGAAAACAAAAAAGCCCCCCTTCCCATTGCCATGGGAAATGCCTCCTCAGCCCTTTCCAAAAGCAGTAGCCAATGTGCAAAATTCTCTAAACTTTCTGAATTTTCTTGGAGTAAATTTCTACTCCAAGCTTTTAAAGAAAGTGAATTCCAGAGTCCTCTGAAACAGGCCCAAGGCAAATTCACTCAAACCAGGTACAACTGGTTTCTACCTCCCAGCTCTAACAACTGACAAGAGCAAAGGATAACCAGGTGAACTAACACATGTACAGAGACTTCCACGTACAAATGCTGTTTCGAAAGCCATGCCAACTTGCAGAGCCTCAGTCACAAATCACTGCCTTGTTTCACCACTGCTCTTTATTAAAGGCAATATTTATAGCCCTGAAAGATGGCCAAAGCTGACAAGAAACATCTGCACTGTGCTAGGAACCAGCGCACTACAAGAGTCAAAGTTACCACAAACCACCATAAGTTTAGAAAGAAAGAAATTGCCAGCATCTGCCACTTAGTGAAATAACCAGTATGGCAGCTTCCAGCTTCTGTTTTGCCTCTTGGAGCCGTGGCTGGGATGTGAAGGAGGAACACCCAGCAAGAAAGGGAGTGTGCTCCCTCCCCTGCTTGCCAAAAACAGCCAATTGGGCTGCGTAAGAAACCTCATCTTCCAGCCTCCCTGATACAAAACTTTATCCTGACACGGGGTGCCTGTACATGTACCAGGTCAAAGAACAAGGAGGGCCTCCTTCAGTTATTCTGACAGTTAATTAAATAATTCAGTGCCTATGTCACTGAAGGCTAAGGAAATACAGATGCCCCGTGCATGACGACTGCAAGCTGCTTTCTGGACAGGTCATTTTAGCAGTGTCCAGGGGGTGTTACCCAGGGGAAAGGCTGACATCTCTTCTTGCCATCAAATTTCTCTGGGGGCACCATTTTCCTTCTGTGCCTCAGTTTCCCGAGCTGCTGAACAAAGATGAATTGTTTATGATGGACTGTAATCAAGGGCTAGGAGCGAACAAGGTTTCAGATATAGGTCTGACTCCTGCAGTCTGCAGTTTCTACCTAGGAGCATTGCCTTCTAAACAGCACCAAGAAATGACTTCATGATGCAGAGCAAGACTGGACACAGATTCCTCATGCAGCTTTACTCTTTATCATATAAAAATGAGAAACCTCCACTGACAAAAGAAGGTTGAAAATGTAACAGATTATATTCCCCCTAATCCTAGATTCAAGGCCAAAAGGGACTCTAACAATACTACTGGTAATTGCCTGTACAGCAACGGCTGCTGATTTTCATCTAGAGACTCTTACATTAATCTCTGCTATAAGAAAACAGAAGCTACAAAAAACGAGACCCCTCCAGTCTCACAGTGCATGAGCTGTGGCCAGGAACCAGGTCCACAGACCTTCTGATTTCTGTCCCCAGCAATGCACTCCTGACACATCCTCCCCCTCCTTCTGCCAAAGCATCCCCAGGTTCACTGTGAATGCAGAGGCTGTGATGACCATATCCAGAAATTACAGCAATTCCATAAACAGCTGCTATGGTAAATTCAATGCCTTCTAACAGCATCAGCCACCTCCCCAGGCTCATGGATGAAACATGGGCAGACTCTGTAAAGCTGATTTCCCATAACACACCATAACAGCTAGGCAGAGTCTGAAACACAGTGTATTGTTTTCTTCACTTACTCCATTATGAACCAGGTTTGCAGTGATTTAGCTCCCAATGCCAGGGTATCTCAACCGTGTCATGCTCAGCTCATAGCACACTTGATCTGTTCACAAATATTCTAGATTTACTAATTCCACCGCCCTTCCATCCTGGGTTTCACCAAAATTGAAACCTTCCACAGTAACATGGTTGGGGATTGACTATGACATCCAGACAAAAACAGAGCAAGGTCAATAATGGAATGGTAAGGACACGGGTACCTCACATCTCAGTGGTTCACTCTCTCAATCTACTAGGCTGCATCTGGAAACCTCAGCATGAGTACCTGCAGTTTCAGGTGTCTTAGACCTTGGAATGCTCTTCATTTTTTTAGCAAATCCATGAGGAAAAATTCTCTGTTCTGTCCCAAGGAAGAAAAGCATGTTAGCATTCTGCTTTATGGGAGAAGAGCTCAGATCCAGCACCGGGCAACTGCCCCAGCTGCTAACAAGGAGATGTCTGGAGTTGACACTGAGTGGCAGGGTGTGACAACTCAGCCTAAGTGCTGTCCTCAGCCAGCCATTTCAGAGATCCCAGCTTGCCACTGCCTGCAGCTGTTGGCAGACGGAAGCATAGCATACACTCTGTGGCACACAATCTCCCCTGGATCCACACGGGGCCCTTCCACAAGGGATGCTAATCCACCCAGCGTGCAGGTCCAAAGGGAGAGCGCTGCATGCACCGATTTCACGGATGAGACAGGGCTGGGACCTTCCCAGGTCTTTTTGGAAAGGGAAGAAGAGGAAATAGGAGGAAAATCACCTTTTTCACTCAAATAAATCTGCACATCTTTAACATCAGCTTTACTTAAAGGGAGGCTAAATCAGGCATTTCCCAGCAAAGCTCTTTAGAGCAAAACACGGCAATCACTAAAAATAAGGAACGGTGGAGAGGTGTTCTGGCATGCTGAAGCTAGGGCCAGAACAAATGTTGTTTTCAGTACGGGTACAACATCCACCAAGCAGCCACCCTGGGAGTGATAATCACCTTCTGCAGCACCGTGATGGCCCTGTTGGTTTAAGTGCCTTCACTTCGAGCTGGTTTCTCCTCCTGGTTCTGAAATTGAGGACATCATCCCCTCAACTGTAACCATCAACTCTGGCTGTGAGCATTTCTAATTCAATAGCCCCTCAGCAGCGGCTCTCACTGTGCAGCATGGCAGGGATATCAGAAAGGCAGAAGCACTCAGACACCCCTGACACCAGCCTGGACTGTGGAAGGCAGCAAACTATCCTCTGAGAAAAGTCCTGCCCTGACGTAAGGAATCCCTGCCCTACAACCCTCCAGAAAGATGTGGATGCTCAGCCAGTGACACCCTTCCACATATCAGAGCTGACTAGAAACAAGTGGTGGAACAGGCTGAATTTTTTTCCAAGGGAGCTGAAAATGCCTTTTCCAAGGTTATTCTGAAAGGAATAACCCCACTGGAGAAAGTGAAGAAATCCTGACAGCGGTGGGATGTGATGAGCCAGTTCCTGCTACAAATGACCGACCACACAGAGGGGCTGGGAATGGCTCTGTTGCAGCAAAGCTGCTTCAAAGCCAGCTGTGAAATGGCTTCTTTGGAGCCAGGAGAGAGTGAGCACAAAATCATGTCAAGCAACAATTAACAA